TATATATATACTGTCATATAAAATATTTGCACATATGGGTTTGGAACAACACAAGAGTGTGCAAATAATTAGAGTTTATTACTTTTTGGGTGAACTAACCCTTTAATTACACACTCATCAGACAGCACTCAGGACAGAGGAAGTGTACTTACCCAGTCTTTCTGATTGAGACGTGCTGCTTCATTATAAACCTCGATAGCGGCTTTGTGCTTCCCTAACAGGAAACTAAACACAGAGTAAACAGTTCATAAAACAACACATATCTTAATTTTCCATTCAGTTTACACAGATCCAGACCAGGTTAAACAGACACACCACATAAATACAGAGAGAGGTGTTTTTGAGATTTTAAACAATGGTGGTGTGTGTTTGGGCTGCTGCTTACAGGGATCGAGCCACTTGCTTGAGGTTGTCTGAGCTTTTGGGGTTGAGGATGGCACAACTCTGGAACAACTCCAGAGACTGCTGGATCTTCCCCTCTAACCGCATGATCAGAGCTGCACACACAAATACAGAGCAGGTATTCACCAGGATAAACTGGGAAAAGAGCACTAGTGTACTGCACACTGCACATTATACTGCATACTACTGTTTAAATCTGTATGTGAAAAGTGTTGAGTATCATCGATATACTATTACAGTTCTTTTTAAGATTTATTTTTGGTGCTTTATGCCTTTATTTAGATAGGACAGTAAGTTGACAGGAAGCAAAGTGGGAAAGAGAGAGGGGGGGTGTGATCGGGAAAGGTCCACGAGTCGGGACTCGAACTCGGGACGCCCGAAACGCAATGGCACTACATGTCTGCGGCTATGGGCAATGTTATTATTTTATTTTTATAATTTTGTTTTCACTTTAATATTAAAGTTTTCATTTTTTCTTTTTCATTTTTTGTCATTTTATTTGGCTTTTTATTCATTTTTAAATATTTTTTAGTTTTTTTTACTAAGTCTATAATTTTTTATTTATTAATTTCAGATTTTAGTTTTAGTTATTTTAGTACTTCCGTTTAAACTAAATGAAAATGAGAAATGTTGCCTTGGCAACTCGCTGAAAATGAAGTTTGTGTATATATATATATATATATCGATAATTCTATTTCACTCAATTAAAATGTTTTTTTTTTAATGTTTTCAGTTGCAGTTAACTTTAATAACCCTGATGTAAAACAGTGACTTTAAACACTTGTATACTACACAGTACAAATACTACAGTATGTAGCACTACTACAAGCACTACTACAATATGTCACATGACTTCATTAAGCTGCATGTTCAGTGAGTAGTGTCCAATTATCACACACATTATAATATTTTTAGTATCTTGGCCATTTTTGCAATTGTAATTCTGGGTAATTCATGCATATTGACATTCAAAAACTACGTAGATGCAGCATTCGATTATGCCATTTTGCACGTCTGAGACCAACTCAGTTTGACCACTTTAGAGTAATTTAATACATTTACACTTTTAAGACTCGGTTTACTGTGTAGTTTACACTGACCTTGCACATACACAGCATATTCACACATGCCTTGGGTTTCATGCAGCTGTTCTTTAATAACGGCCTGAAAACAGAAGATACACATTGGGTAATTCATGCATATTGACATTCAAAAACTACGTAGATGCAGCATTCGATTATGCCATTTTGCACGTCTGAGACCAACTCAGTCTGACCACTTTAGAGTAATTTAATACATTTACACTTTTAAGACTCGGTTTACTGTGTAGTTTACACTGACCTTGCACATACACAGCATATTCACACATGCCTTGGGTTTCATGCAGCTGTTCTTTAATAACGGCCTGAAAACAGAAGATACACAAATCATTTAACATTATTAAGAGTATTCTACAGCAATTAAACTCTCTCTGTAGATTCTCTGGCTTCACCTTGCAGGTCTCATAATCTTTGCGGATATAATGCAGATGTATAAGCCAGTTTCTCCTCTCCAGAATCGGAAGCTCAGGAGCTGCAGACAGAAGAAAAACATACAGAGATGAATGTATATACGTATGCAACAATGTATAGTGGTGCACAAAAGAGCCTAGACATGTCTGAATGTCATTGCAAATGCTGCAGGATGTTATAATGTTCATAAATGTGTTTGAATCAGCTGGTTTTAACATTTCAAACCTGACAATCTGTCAAATGTTTTGCTTGTAAAGTTTGATTGTGCAACATTCTTTACAATAAAAGACACTTGCTTTGATATTTCGTATGTAACGCAAGGACAAAGTTTGACTCAACAGTTCAGAAACTTTTTAGGCCAGAGATTAAAGAGATGTTTCATCTTGTGTAGGACATTAACTGGTCTAATCATGAAAATGCAAATATCAAAGGCAGCATTGAAAATCTGCAGAAAACAGCTTCTATTTTGGATATAGAGGGCAGACGGGCTTGCTGTGAGCCGCAGCGGACTCTTCTCGCAGTGGGGGGCCACACAAGACTCCTCGTCCCGAATCCAGCGGGCCCCAGAACAAAAGGAGCCTGTCCACTGCAACATGAAGCGTCTGCATCTTTCTCCTCTTGCTTACAAGCCCCCTGGCAAAATCTGATCTCAATCCGTTCTATTCCTGGACAGACTTTTCCCTCTGAGCCATAATCCTCTTCACTGAAAAATGGGGCCGAAGGGGAAAATAAAGGCATACAGCGCCACCCACAGGATGAACGGATACACCGATGTGAACCGTGAAAATGCTTGTTTGGTTTTGCAGTACTTTATAATTCAAAACTGCATTTTTTAATTCTTTAAATGATTAATATATATATAGACTCCGGAGATTCTGACCTTTCTTTGGACGAGGTTTCTTGAGGTCTGTGGCTACAGGCAGCTGCACATCCTACACAAGGAAAAAAGGTCATATATTAATCAAATTCTGTGTGCTGCAATGAACATTAGCCCATTTTTTGTATTTATATTTACATATTCATATACCTTTTCCTCTTTAATTCTTCCTTTTACATGAATTCTCTTTCTGTTTATTGTATTTATTATTTATTTAGGAGCAGAAATCACCTTACTGTTGTGCCTTTGAGAAATAAATGCTGATTAATATTATGCATTTTAATATTTTGCAATAATCATAAACTAATTATCTGAAGAAATGATCATAAGAAGCGAATTATAAACTAATATTTTTGTATTAAATTCAGAATGAACACATTTAACAAATGCCACCATGATTTATAAATAATTTACATTGCATCAATTTACTTTTATTACAGTGATGACAATATATGTGTCATGAACAATTACAAGACATCTTAATGGTCCTAATATAAACTTGATTTTCTTTATGTAAAGCTAATTTTTAATCTTTCTTTGACAGGCTTTGCTGTTCAAGATTAAACGAAATATGAATAAAATATACCTTTGTTATTCAAATCTGTCCGATTGTTTTCTCTTTGCAGATATATTTAATCTGACGAGCAACTAAACAACACAATACCGAAGAACAGCGGTTACAGACTATCATAAAGAAGATCTCTGTTCATATCAAAGGTGTTAAATAGCACGCGTTTTTGTGTTTTAATGAAAATAAACATAATTTCTCACTGTTTTCATCGCGTCGTCCGCCATCGCGCTCCCTTCCTCCTCACTTCCGGCGGACGCTTCTGTCACTATGGCAACACCGCGACGTTCGTCACCACGTGATTCCACATATATAAAACTCACTCCAGCACAGAAATTATTTCCAGTGGTAAAGGCTTACATGATGATCTAAAAATACCGTTATAAAGTCCATTATGTGTTTACAGCCACTATATAGTAGACATATTGAGAATTCTGGAAGATTACTTTATTAGAATGATCAATGGTAGGTAAATCTGCATGCACATTATGAACATCATAAACAAGTAATAACTTGATACACAAAAGTCTCTCTCAAACTATAGATCGTTAGTTTAATTCAGACAAAGGTGTGCAAAATACACAACGGAATTATTGCAAGCCATTTCTGAGCAAATCACCTGCAGAGGTTGAATAGCACAGTCATACTATATAAACATGGACGACGAAAAGGAAATCTTGAGAAGATGAGAGCTACATCAGAAGATCTTTCATGCCATCTGATGAACATAACACATAATTAAACTTGATAAACTCAGGGATGGAAAATCGCACATTCAGCATGATCCGGTCAAGAAATTATAGTCAAGTCAAGTCAAGTCACCTTTATTTATATAGCGCTTTTAACAATACAGATTGTGTCAAAACAACTGAACAGCCTTAATTAGGAAAATAGTGTGTCAATAATGCAAAATGACAATAGTAAACACTCATTTTTCAGTTAAAGTTCAATTCAGTGATGTTATCATCCAGCTCAGTTCAGTTTAAATAGTATCTTTGCAATCAAGTCAACAATATCGCTGGAAATGAAGTGTCCCCAACTAAGCAAGCCAGAGGCGACAGCGGCAAGGAACCAAAACTCCATCGGTGACAGAATGGAGAAAAAACCTTGGGAGAAACCAGGCTCAGTCGGGGGGCCAGTTCTCCTTTGGCCAGACGAAACCAGCAGTTCAATTCCTGGCTGCAGCAAAGTCACATTGTGCAGAGGACTCATCTGCTTCCTGTGGTCTTGTCCCTATATTATAGCCTATAAGATGTCCCGTCTGGTGCTGGCCCACTGGCCAAGCTTGATAAAAGTAGGTCCAGATGTTTCCGTGACCCAAAGGAGGGCATCCAACCAATGGGACGCCCAACGTTGTGATCGTAAAGTCAAGGGATACAGAATCAGAAGTGGGCTGAATTTGAGAAGCACCAAGGCGCGGATTCCCAAATGCAAGACGAATACTAACCTGTGGATCTGGACTCGGGCGACTGACTTCCTCTCTGTGGTCCTCTGCTGATGGATGGCTTCCTGTCCAGCTGCGTAAGTGATGCCACATGCAGTCCAGCAGAAAAGTCCCACTTTAGGGGCTTGAGATATAACATGAATACCTTTAAAAATAAACACTGTACGGGATTCGAATCGAAACCCTGTGCACCATGTATCTGAAGTTCTGGAGCAGGTGTTTTGCACAGAAAGCAGGCATTTGTGATGCAGTTATTAATTATTTAGACATTTAACTGATGTTGTAGGACAAATGTAGTGCAGTTGCAATTTATAATCGTTATTTTCCTATCAGTTTTGAAATCAGATGCATGAAAACATATTAAGATCATGCATACAGTATGTAGAAATAAAGAAAATAGTCAAATAGAATGAGTAAATGTTTTAATATTTTTTAATATTAAAAAACATTATTTTAATGCAATTTTGTTTGTTGTTGTTCCATTTTGTTATTTGTCATTAATTAATTAATTTAGTTTTAACTTTTTTCTCTTGTGCTCACACATTTATTTGATTAAAAATACAATGAAAACAATAATATTGTGAAATATTATTACTGTTTAAAATAACTGTTTTCTATTTAAATTTTAAGTCCTAATTTATTCCTGTGATCAAAGCTGAATTTTCATTATCATTACTTCAGTCTTCAGTCACATGATCCTTCTGAAATCATTCTAATATACTGATTCACTACTCAAGAAACATTTCTGATTATTATCAATGTTGAAAACAGTTGTGCTGCTTCATATGTTTGTTTAAACTGAGATGTTTTTTCCTTTTTTGTTTGTTTTTTAAGGTTTGTTTGATGAATAGAAAGTTCGATAGATAGATAGAAAGATAGATAGATAGATAGATAGATAGATAGATAGATAGATAGATAGATAGATAGATATATAGTCAGATGATAGATAGATAGATAGATAGTCAGATGATAGATAGTCAGATGATAGATAGATAGATAGATAGATAGATAGATAGATAGATAGATAGATAGATGATAGATAGATAGAGAGATAGATAGATAGATAGTCAGATGATAGATAGATAGATAGATAGTCAGATGATTGATAGTCAGATGATAGATAGATAGATAGATAGTCAGATGATTGATAGTCAGATGATAGATAGATAGATAGATAGATAGATAGATAGATAGATAGATAGATAGATAGATAGATAGATAGATAGATAGATAAATAGTCAGATTATCGATAGATAGATAGATAGTCAGATGATAGATAGATAGATAGATAGTCAGATGATAGATAGATAGATAGATAGTCAGATGATAGATAGATAGATAGATAGTCAGATGATAGATAGATAGATAGATAGTCAGATGATAGATAGATAGATAGATAGTCAGATGATAGATAGATAGATAGATAGTCAGATGATAGATAGATAGATAGATAGTCAGATGATAGATAGATAGATAGATAGTCAGATGATAGATAGATAGA